ATATTTATATAATAAAATTATATTACATTTATATATTTAATTAATATATTATTTATATTTATTTTGATTTCTAAGTATAATATAAATTATTTATATATATATCTTATAATATATTTAATAAATATATTACAATTTATTTCTACGATATCATATTATTATATTCTAATATATATTTCTAATATATTTCAAAAAAACAATTTTAGATACATAGGATAATAATAATATAATATATAATAATATAATAAATAAAAAATACATATTAGATATATATATTATATATTATTATTTATAATAAAATTATATTACATTTATATTAATTGATATATAATTTATTGTTACTTTGATTTTAAAGTATAATACAAATTATTGATATACATCTTTATAAAATGTATTTCAAAAAAATCAATATAATACATACAATATAATATACACCTACACACAACACCCCCACAAACATATATGTATATATGTATATATTTTTGATATGTTTAAAAATAGATTTCCTTCTACGTGAAATTAGAAATATTTCATTGGACGAGTTACGCACGTGTTAAAACTCATAGCAACATTTTCATTTGGTTTTTGATCATTGCTTTGAAAATATCTAACAACTACTCAAAGTGTTTTTCTTAAGAAAATCTACTCTCTCTCTCTCTCTCTCTCTCTCTCTTTCTCGCTCTCTTCTTCTCTTTTATTTTTCTTTTTAGGATATAGTAGTAAAGCACAGTTTTCTTCATCTTACATTAGTGCTTTCGTTTAAGTCGCGTCGTTGAACTAATGTGTGTAAGAGTACTTTAAAAGCTCCAATTCAAACAAATATATCGAGATAAAAGAACACTCGATCCTTTTCGTTCGTTTTCTACAACACCACCCCCTCTTCCACCTACCCCCCTTTCAACTGTTACACACATCAACACATCTCTAACACACATCATTTTTCGAAATCATACACACGTTATTTCTCTATCACTTTTTCCGATTATATTTACGAGTATCTTCTTAAAACTTTTTTAACAAACAAACAAACAAACAAACAAACAAACAAACAAACAAATAAACAAACAAACAAAACAAAACAAAATAAACAAAAATAAAAGAAAATAAAAACGGTGATCCAATTATTATTCCCAATGATATAATTATTATATTAATTATTATTTGCAGATATAACATTAATAGAATTTCGCGTGTTTCGTTAAAAAGTATTAAACAAAGTATAAATAAAAGAAAAGAAGAGAAAAGAAAAAAAAAGAAAAGAAAAGAAAGAACACATAACAACAACGAGTAAGATTAAACTAAAAGTGTGTTGTATGGTGGTTGGTTGTGGTGGTGGTGGTAGTGGTGGTAGTGGTTTTGGTTAAACGTGTGGAAGAATTTTGTGCTCGTGCAAGGGGTGAAATAAATAAAAGAAGAAACAAAAAGAAAAGAAAGGAAGAGTTTCAAATTGAAAAATATACGAGTAAGGAAGATCAAAATTTGTATCCTTTAAAAAAAAAAAAAAGAAAAAAAACAAAGGAAGAAAAAATAAAAAAATTAAACGAGACAAAATAAAACGATACAAGAAAAATTTAAGAAATAATAAAAAAAAAACCCTTCCCCCCCTCCCCTCCCACCCCCTAAAATAAAAGAAACCCATAGAAGTTCGATGATAACGATAAGAAAAGAAAAAAAATCGTGAACTGGTGGTAGAGGAGGAATAGAAGGGTTAAAAAAAGGGTTTAATAATAGCCTAGATTGAAGAATGATCGATTGTATATAAGGCAATCTACGAGCAAGTTAAAATAAGAAATAACACAGAGAGAAAGAGAGAGAGAGAGAGAGAGAAATAAGTTTAATTGCAGAGTGAGAAAAAGAAAAGAAAAGAAAAGAAAAGAAAAGAAAAGTAAAGAAGGATTCGATTCGTACCATAAAAAATAAAATAAAATAAAATAAAATAAAATAAAATAAAATAAAATAAAATAATAATAATAATGGAATTAAACGGAAGTACAGATAATTACAATAGCAGCTATGATAACAGTACTAGCAGCTATGATAACAGTACTAGCAGCTCTGATAACAGTACTAGCAGCCTATCGGACGATTTAATAATGTCAAATATAAGCGTACGAATAATATTTTGCATATTTTACGGTAATATATTTATCCTAGGTGTATTTGGCAATGTATTGGTTTGTTACGTAGTATTACGTAATCGTCAAATGCAAACCGTAACAAATTTATTTATCACCAATTTGGCATTCAGCGATTTGTTGTTGTGCATATTGGCAGTACCGTTTACACCGTTGTACACGTTCCTGGGTGGTTGGATATTTGGAAGAATGTTGTGTCATTTGGTACCATACGCTCAAGGTGTTAGCGTATATATCAGTACATGGACATTAACTAGTATTGCGATAGATCGTTTTCTTGTTATATTGTATCCATTTCATCCACGTATGAAGATTGAAATTTGTTGGATCATTATATTTGGTATATGGATAGTTGCATTACTTTTGACGTTACCATATGGATTTTACATGCAACTTGTTGAACCCCATACTTATTGCGAAGAACAATGGCCGAGTGAACCGTTTCGCAAAGTATTCAGCTCGTTTACTACGATATTACAATTTCTTGTACCATGTTGCGTTATTACCATATGTTACATATGTGTGTGGATCAAATTAAACGACAGAGCACGTACCAAACCTGGCAGCAAAAGTAGCAAACGCGAAGAAACCGATCGTGAAAGGAAAAAACGTACCAACAGAATGTTGATAGCTATGGTTATTATTTTTGGTTTTTCTTGGTTACCATTGAACATCGTTAACATAGTCGACGATTTTTATCCGCCTGCCAACGAGTGGTCTTATTATGGATTATTCTTCTTCACTACTCATTGTCTTGCCATGAGCAGCACATGTTACAATCCATTTCTCTATGCCTGGTTAAACGACAATTTTCGCAAGGAATTCAAACAGGTGCGTATAATTACTGTAAACCTTTTTTCTTTTTTTCTTCTTTTTTTTTCAATGATTCTTTTTTTTTATTCATTTCATCAACTTTTATTACCCTTCTTTCATTTTACTTTTTTTTTTTGGTTAACAATTTTATCCAATATTATTTTTAAATATCTTTTAAATATATTTAAATAATATAATATATTATAAAATAAATTATATAGTGTATTAAATATATTTGATAAATAATATATATATATATATATATATATATATATATATATATAATGTTTTATTAAATTTATATATTTTTTTTATTAAATTTTTATCATCCCATAATAAAATTACGATTGGAAGTATTTACGAATAAAGGTTGAAAGTTTGTAAAGTGGTTACAAAGTTTTACATCTTGATAATGTTAATTTTCTAACTATGTGCAAAATTACAGATTTCTAATTACGGTAATTTTCTAACCAACTCTCCCATAATAGAACTTTGATTTTACGTGCTTCCGTTGATTTAAATACGCTCATTATATTATAACGTAAGTTATATAATACTTTTTACGAACGTACACACATACAAGTGCACGTATATTTCTCTACACAGAGAATTATTATTATCATCGATACAGTAATTCTTAAGAATATTAATAACTTTTTTTTTTTTATTATTATTAGAAATAAAATCAATGATTAAGGTACCTCATTCATCGTGTGTGATCGACAATGTTAATTAAAATTCATTTGAGTTATATGATTTGTCGTTGGAAAGGGTTCTTTTTTTTCATTTCATACTTTCTTTTTGTATTTTTATTCTTTTATATTTTTTATACGACTATTTTCATCAATAATTCATCGAGTTCAATTAAACGTTCAATTAATGTTTCATTTTGTTCATAATAAGTTATATAATTTAAATACATTTAAAATATTACTTTAATATATTATTATATAATATATTTTTAATGATTTATTTATGATTATTATCATCAAATTATTTATCATTAATTTTATTGCAATCATTTCATTTCAATTTATTTTAATATTACAAATAAATACGATTACATTGTCATTTGAATACCATTTTCTGGTTTGTTCTTAACATTTATAATTTTCATTTTTACACCTGTTGAGACATCGTCCAGTGAAATTTGATATCGATTGTGTATATATATATATATGTGTGTTGCTGTTATCGTCGTTAGTTACATCAATGCATTGTTACGTTTAATTACAAATTTTGATGATCGAATGTCCATTCGCGATGGGGTAAATGTGTATGCAATTAACCGTACGGACGTCATCCTGCGAAGTTACTCATACAATGTTACCTATATATANTTAATTATATATATTAATTATTATTTTTTATTAATGTTAATAAATAATATAATGGTAATTAATTTATTTAATAAAATTAATAAAAATATAATTAATTAATTAATTTTTATTAAAAAAATATATATTAATTATATATATATATATTAATATAAATTAATTTAAATTTAATTAAATTATATATAATAATTGAATTAATTTTATTAAATTAATATGTATTATTATTAATTTATATATATATATATGAAATACAGAAAAAAGAAATTCGTTGGAAATTTTGTAAATACGAAAAGAAATATACATATACACACACAATCACATAAATATAATGAAAAAATTATAAATAATTAGTTAAAGAATAGTAGGAATAAATTAGGCAAAACGAGAAGGGAGAGAAATAGTGGTAGGTTGTGGGGGTGTTTGAGTGGGGATGGTGCAGGGGAGGAAAGGATGGTGCTTAGTGCGCATACGCAGAAAAACGGCGCGATCAAAAGCATCGCGCTTGGATTGATGAGAATTTTCCGCTTTCAGTTGGTCATGGAAAACGGCGCGTGTCGGTACACGAAATTCTTTCGATCTGGTTAATAATATCCCTGCTGTGATTTTACGTTCGTGAAAAATCATTTTCTAACAAATTCTTCATTGGATTTATATATATATATATATGTAACGAACAAAAAACTGGAGAGAAAATTAAAAACGTTTTTTTAACCCTTTGAGTGGTATGGACGCATATATGCGTTTGGTAAAAATTATCAGAATGGTTTATCGACGCATATGTGTTTGTTTATATTAATTGTAAAATATAATGTAATGTTTATATTAATTCATTACATTATATTTTTTTTTATATTGAGACAAACTTTAATTAACAAATAAATATAATAATTAATTTATTATATTCATATAAAATAAATGATAAATATATTTTCTGATTTTATTTATAATTTCTTGTATTTATTTTATTTATATATTTTTCAAATATATTTTCTATTATTTATATTATTATAATATAATAAACTTTAATTATATAATAAATATAATTTATTATTAAAATTTAGTTAATAATAAACAATTTCGTTTATACAAAATATTTTACGTCAAAGTATTGATCACTCAAAGGGTTAAACGAACGAACGAAAGAAAGAAAGAAAGAAAGAAAAAAAGAAAGACAAAAAAAAGAAACACGTTTTTCAAAAGTACGATTAAAATTTTTAATCATTCAAGAATTCTTTTGTAGGAAAGAAAGTAAAAAGACACCTTTGTATTTGTTTTCTCTCTTTTTTTTTTTTTTTATATATTTTTCTAT